AATTTTATATATAAGTTGAAATTTTAATTTTTTTAAAAATTGGATTGATATGCACTAATCTCTTATAAATAAATAAAAATATTATTTTCTAATCCTTAATTTAGAAAAAAAAAGTCAAAAAAAAGATAAGTTACGATAAATGGAGTGAAAAAATTATTTATTACAATAATTAAGACTTATCTTTTCATTTTTACCCCTTACTTACAATTAAAACAAAAAAAAAATCCTAATATTCTTAGAATTTAACATTCTCTCTCTCTCTCTAAGGAAAGCTTGTAGTGCAATTGACCAAATTATTGATAAAAAATACTTCCTCAGCTATACAACTAGAGTACAAACCCTTATTTTCTCTTCTCACTCCTTCCCCCGTAAAAGTTTCAATTAGTTGATCTGTTTCATAAAAAAAAAAAAAAATCTCTCTGTTTTTCCTGTAATTTGTAACTTTTTCCAGTATACCACAAAACTTACAGTTGGGCAGAAACCGTGCAATCCATTCCGAAATCGTTGCTATCCTTAGAGCTTTGGAATTGGCATGGCAAATGCAAATTAGAAGCGTTATTGTGGAGTCCTATCCCCTATTAACGGTACACAAGGTGATCAGTCACAACGCAACTCGGCATGATCCACATAGAAGCTTAATAACAAAATGCCGTGAAACTTCAGAGAAATTGGCACGCTGAGATTCGTCATGTGCTCTGAAGCTAACTCTTGTGTGAATGCTATGACTTCAAAATTTTCCCACTGAGACAAAGTTAGCATTTCTTTAATGATCCATCATTAGAAGTGAAACAAAGAATAGTAAAAGATCTTAAAGATATTTGTAGGTCTAAAATCTCTAAACTTATCAGTGTGTAATTGTATTACCTACTAAAAAAAAAAAAACTTACCAATAAGGAGTTTAGAGTCCTTAGACGAAAAAAGATGGCTTTGGAACCGAGAGTAATACAGCAATTTTGGCAAGAATTTCAACCTTACTATATATGGTGAGTTTATTTAGCTGAAAATATCATTTAATCTAGTAAGATTTAAGATAAACTTAAAAACAATACTTGAGTTAACAAGATCTAAGGTACAAAAATAATTAAGAGAATTTACTCTCCAACACATTTGGTGTAAAGGTCAAACATTGATTTAAATTACATGAATCACGAACTATCTAAAGCTTACAAAATTCATTTGGTTAAGTACATAACATTTCAATTAATTCAAATAATCTTCCACTGCAGTTCTAAAAAAATAGATTCAAACATAATCAAATTATATACTATAAGAAAGGATGTCTTTGAGTGTTGAGAGACGTACGTTATGGCTCACTTCATACCTGCTATGATCAAGCAGGGGAACTGACAAATTTACTAAGCATGTATGTCGCACTTGCCGCTTTAGAGAGGTTGGTTAGGTGCACACGGTTTTCCCGATCTCCTGGCCCTCTGTCATGTTTCCAACCGCAGCAATGCTGTGGTATTCGCCATCCCCTAATTTCACCAATTAGAGCTTGATCGAGTTAGCATTCATCAATCTAAAAGTTTTGATTTATAGTTGAATTTAAAGGTTCAAACATCTACAAAGTCAAA